CAAGGAGCCTTGGAGGGTTGTGGTAGGCCCTTTTGGGGCAGCAGCGTGCTACTTAAAGGCTCTGGGTTGGGAAGCCAGGTCCCTCACTGAGTGGCAAGCGGACCAGGAAACTTTCCATATCCTGGATAGAGCCAGCATGCACCACATGAGCAGCAAGCTCAAACAGGCCTGTGACAGGTGGCGCTGGCAAGCACTAGCCCAGTTTGAAAAAGGGGAAACCCTCAAAGAAGGCGTCGACTGGCAAGCGCCACGAAAGGTGCTTAAGAAAAGTCCCACAAAGCTGCACCGAAACGCTTTGGTTGCGGTGTGGCAAGGTGCTATCAGGCATGGCAAGGGTGCCATGTGCGCCCGATGCAACAAAGAAGCCACACTAAGCCACGTCCTGTGGGAATGCACCTGGTGGGAAAACCAGGCCCCTGAGCCAGTTGACTTCCCTAGACTCAGGGAGCAGTACCCTGACCCCAGCTTGTGGCTCAGAGGACTCGGGCCGCCACCGCAGAGGCCGGACACCTACAAGTAAACACTCCAGGAAGAAGGTGTTTTCCAACAGGTCCTGGTGGATGATCCAGAAATCCTCTACGCCACCGACGGCTCACCTGGTGCATCCCAGGATGCACGCTTTCAAGTGCACACCTGGGGAGCAATTGCTTTCAAAAAGCATGCGAACAAGATTGAGGTGGTAGGAAAAGCGACAGGGCCTGTGGAAGGCCAGCAAACGGTCTTCAGGGCTGAAGCTGCAGCCCTCCAGTATATCACACACAAGACGTCACAGGCAGTCGACGTCACGTTGGACTGCAAAGGGGTGCTGAAGTGCCTAGACCGGGCACCAGGTTGGAAATCTGAAGACATCTTTCAGAGCTTGCGCCACCAACAAGACCGCCTGTGCCTCACCTGGGTAAACTCCCACCTTTCCCAGCAGGAATTCCAGAAGAAGTTTGGCGAAACAAACTGGTGGCGCTGGGAGGCAAACCAGGAGGTTGACCAGCTGGTGCAAGCTGCGGCAAACCAGCGAAGAAACCTTCAGTGGGAACAACAGGTCCTCATCAAAGATGAGGTGGTAGGTCGCATCAATGTTTTCCTGGCAAACAGAGTGCAGGAACTGTTCCAGTACGGCACTGGTGAAGGACCCCAGGTAGTTTTCCCAGAAAAACCTGGTGCCAGTGACCAGGAAAATCAAAAAGTAAGAAAAAACCAGGCCCCAAGGTCAAGACCAGCCTCCAAACCAAAGGGAGGAAACAGAAAACTGGTGATAAACCAGTCCAACCTAGCCCCAGTGAAGGCCCCAACAAAAGGCAGCAGCTGGAGGCCCTCCTCGCTGGTCACAAACCGGAGATGGGACATCAGTGGAGAGAAGGCCACCGCAGTAGGGACAACCTGTGTGTCAACTGCACACGCTGTGGGCACTACATTGAGCAGGTTGAGGCTAAAGCAACTTTTGCTAAGAAAATTGGCCACACGTGCAAGTGGATGGAACCTTCAGCCCCACACATGGGCGAGCACCCATCACACAAGATGGTCAATGCAGGCCGCATGTGGCTCTGCTGCAAGTGTGGTGTCCGTCAGTGGATAGGACGCCAAGAGTTGTTCCCTAGCCTGGGTAAACAGTGTAAGCAAGTGTACGTGGGCAAGGACCCAGAGATCTTGCAGTGCATTCAAAAGTTTGCCCCGCAAAAATCTGGCTTTTTTAAGATGGCCCAACAGGCCCCCCAAAAGGAACACCTGCCAGATGCCATGGACCGCAAAATGACTGACAGTGTGGAGCAGGGCAAGGAGGAACCTAGGACGAATGGGGATGATGATGTGTTTGGTGATGGTGTTGCTGGTGGTGAGGTTGGTGCCAACCAAGAAGCCAGTAACCGGAGGAAAACCAAAGCTAAGGGTGCCCAAACCCGAGCCAAAAGCCAGCCTTTGAAACAGCCAAGCACACAGGAACCCCCAAAGGCCCTTTCCCAGCCCAAGCCTACAGGCCCGCCTGAAAAACCTGTCCAGGCTCAAGAAAGCAAAAGCCTGGGGAAAACAAAGCCAAGCCTAAGCCAAAAGCTGGTCTAGCCAGGCCCCACAGTGAGGACCCCAAACAAACCAGACTGAAATTTTGAGTGGAGGCTTTTGGCTCATAGCTGGGGTTTTATTTAGCGGAGGCCTGCCATGGCAAAAGATGATCCTGGTGAGGGCCAGGAACCCAACAATGGGGACGACCACAAAGAGAACCCAAGGAAGTGAACCCTGGTGAAAACCAGGAGCAAGCAGACGATGGTGCTGCACCAACAAAGGCCCCCAGCAGCTCCTGGGAGAGACCAAGCAGTTCTTGGGAGCGGCCTGGTGCAAGACCAGGGAATACTCCTGCAAGGGCCCCTCTTTCGGACTACAAGAAGTGGTTCAACAGGAACCGTCCGGGGAGCGCCAGCAAGATCACAAAACCAGGGGAATCCCTCCACCCCCTGGTGTGTGGCTGTGTGGCAAGGTTCAGGACCCAAAGGAAAGGAGAGCAAAGGAAAGGACAAAGGAAAAGCAAAGGGTCAGGACCACAAAGGAAAAGGAAAAAGGGCCCGGCAAAGCCGAGGGCAAAACACAAGTTCACAAAGTGCCTCCGAACCACCCCCAGCGAGGAAGCGGCCGGCGACAGCCATGGAAACGAGCCCTAAACCCGGCACCCGCTGAAGAATATTCGTACTCTGGATGAAGAGCCGCCCACCGCTGCCCAACCCAAGCCCACACCAAGTTTCCTCGCGACCATAAGAGAGGGAGCGCGGGCCAGACAAGGGCAAGCCAAACGAGGCCAGGGTGGCCCAGGAGGAGAACCCAGCAGCTCCTCGTCCTCTTCTGAAGCAGCTGACAATAATGAAGAGCAGAAAGGTGAAGACCAGGAAGAGGAGGCAAGCCCTGCAAAGCCGGAAGGCCCAACAACAAAGCCGGAGCCTAGCCCTACAGAGCCGGCGTGGAGCCTTGAGTCCCAAGCAGGGAGACCCCTGGTGTTAACCAGGAGGACAAAGAAGCAAGATCGGACACAGAACCAGCTTCAAACCCGAAAGAAGAAACCTCACAGGCAACTGAGCCTGCAAGCCCCAGAGCTACTGTGGAAGTCCAGGTTGGGCACTCCGCTCAACCCTCCCAAAGCACTGGTGAAAACCAGGCAGCCAAAGAGGAGATCAAGGAAAGGAGGAAAGCCCTAGAGCTCCGGTGCAGACCCCGGAGGGCAGTGGCTCAATAAACGTGCCATTGGCCCAAAACACCAGCTGTGCTGGTTCCTCTTGGCACCAGCCTTTCCTTCCGGGAGATGGCCAGCAACGTTGATTGGACCAAGACGTGCATTAGGCTCTCATGGTCCTCCCGAGAGAGCCTGGCCTTGGCGTACATCTTCAAGGCGTACATCAGCTTTTCAAGGCTCGTGTGGTACTCCTGTACCAGTCCTTGGCCTTCATCTCGGAGTCGTGCGCATCTATGGCCTTCCAGAAGCCCGCCAGTCGTTGGACGTTTGGCCACTAGGGCCGCGCCCCAAGGGGGTAGGGTTCCCACCCCAGCACGTCCACCACCACCAGCTCTGGCACCACGTCCGGGCCTGGTCGCAAAAAAGCGAAGGCCCATGTTGGCCCGCCCTATGTCTTTCACCAACAGAATCTTGGCTAAAAGGGCCACGGTGAACATGGCTTGCATCACTTGGATGCTGTTGAGCTGCGCGGGCATTGGGGTCACAGCCTCGCCTCCATCTCAATGAGGGTGATCCATAAGGCATCCTGGGTAGCACTAGGGCCCAGTCTGAGCTAGGGCAAACCAGGACCAACAGCACTGGTGCTACCAGTACTAGCCTGACTGGTGCAAACCTCGAAGGCTGGTGCAAGTAGCAACCAGCACAGCTGGTCCTGGGCCAAGCTGTAGAACAAACCAGTGCTGAAACGGCCACAGCACTGGTGTAAGTACAGTACGTTCACCCAAACTTGCCGGCTAAAAGCTGCGACTCGCTTCGCCAAAGACGAGAAACAGTTATCCTCTGAGTGAGGATACGGTGGGCGTCCGGCTCAACTCTTTAAGCAGTTACAGCTTTCCGCCTAGTTTCTTGACACTTGGAGTGTCAGGGACACTTTTCTCTGTAGCTGTGAGTTTTCCACGATACGGACGTTTTTAGAGGAGTTTTAGTTGTACTTGAGGGCTCTGTGGCCTTAGGGAAGTGCTTAGGGCTCCAACACCTGTAGGTAGTTTACGCCTTTGCTTTGGTGCAAGACTTTGGTGCCTACCTCAAGACTGGAACTGCGTGGAGAGTGAAGCAAAACGAAGTCTTCTGTCCAAGTGTTGTGCTCTGGAGCTTGGGCTCGTTGTGGTTCGTTCTTTTCGATGTGGGTTTCCATGGTTTCTCCGCTTGCGCAGAAGAGTGGAAGTGAAGAAGATGTTCAGGACAAAAGATCGACCCGTGCTTTGACCATGTGCCCTTTCCGAGGCAGCTGAGCACCAAGCGGCAGGGCTTGGAGACATCGCCACGGTTCAGCCCGGGGTAACGCAGTGCGCATCTTGCCTCCCCTTCGGTCAGTAGCGCTCACATACTGTTGCTCACACAGGGCTTGGCTGCGTTGCAACTGCGATATGCCTCCTACAGTGAGGAAGATCTTCCTCAACAATGCGCATGTTATCGGGATAGATAAGAGACAAATAGGAGAGGCAGCTTTTCTCGCTGCCATCCTTCCCAATGCGGAAAGCCAGCTTGTCATTCAAACAGGCGACCCACGACAACCCGAGGCGGCAAAGGTGAGGTTCAATTGCGGACGTTGGCCCGCCTCATCGCCAAACCTGTTGGCATCCGTGGCTCAGGCTCCGCAGCCAGTTTCTCCGGGGCGACTCGCCGCGGGGAAGACGCCCACCAACGCTTACCGCAGGCACGACCCACGGGCCCATTGATCATTGGCTCTCCCTCCCATTGTGGGGCATTGTTGCTGCATTAGAGCTGAGGCTTGTTGCTAGTTAGGTGGCTCTTTCGCTCTCGAGGGCTTGGCCGCTCCTTACTGCTCGCCGCCATGAGCGCCTTCCAGTGCTGCATTTTGACCTTCGCCGAGTCCCAGGTCGAAGAGCCCGAGCGCTCCAAGTCCTTCCGCTTCTACCGCAGCGTCTCTCAGGCTGCCCACAAAACCGTTCGGATTCGGGCGAGTGAACAAGGATTACTTGGATTTTGCGTGAACGGCAAATACTATTTTTATAAAGCTAGTGGCACCATTTGGAGGTTCTTTTTCAGCGTTGTGGTGGCAACGCGTAGCGGGCTTTTATGTTCGCACCGGCCATCGCCTGATCTTCATCAGCCACGTCCTGCTTATGTACGTGGACGACGCTTTACTCCTTCAGCATAGTTCGGCCATCGAGTTTTCCGCGCTCTTGATGGTGGCATTTTCACAATCGTTTGGATACCCGATCAGTTGGCGTAAGCTCCAGCTGGGGCCCAAGCTGGAATATATCGGTTGGCGGATTAATTTCCGTGCAGGGACGTTTTGTCTGCCTGATTCTAAGGTGGCGAAAACTTTTGCAAAGCCTGATGCAAGTGCTCCGGTCCGATCCTTGCACCAAGCGTGATTTGCAGGCTCTCATCGGTCTCCTTCACTGGGTGTTGCAGATGTCACCCGAGTTGCTACCCTGGCTGTGCTGCTTGTGTCACGACATGTCTCGTCCCTTGGGCACAAATTTTTCCTTGCATGCGGGTGCCTGGCAACAGTTAGCGGATACCTTGACTGATGATTTGCATTTCCGCAAATCGCCACCAGGGCCGACCATCCCCCCGGGGAGCAAGTTGTTGAGTGCACGTCATGTGGTGATCAAGTGCAAAGCGGATTTGCGTCTGGTTAGGGCCACAGGCAAGCGGATCTGGATTCGTGTGGCGGATGCATCATCCAGCAAGCATCGAATCAGCACGGTGAGCAGACAGTTCATCATGTTCTGGGTGCACTTTTGCATGCGGCCTCAGATGCCCCGCTGTTTGTCTCTGCCACCTTTGGACTTTCAGTATTCCTTAGCTGCTGACGCTTGTGCTAAGGGCAACGACATTGGGATTGGCGGATGGGTTGAATTGCCGAATCAGCCCATCGTTTGGTTTTCCGAGTGGTTTACGGTCCAAGACTTCCGTTCGCTGGGCTTGCCCATGAAAGATGATGCTAATTTGGACATCACGGCGTATGAGACGCTGGCACAACTGGCTCTCTTGATAGCTTTCATTTCCATCACTCCTACCGGACGACTTCGGGTGTGCATCCCATCTTGGTCGGATAACTCGGGGACCGAGTCCTTGACGAACAAGCTTTTCACAGTACATACACCGCTGTGCTTCTTCGCTCAGAAACTGGCCACGCGGAGTTGGCAGTCTGGCATCTCTCTGGATTGTACACACATCGCGGGATGTCACAATGATAGCGCTGATTTCTTGAGTAGATGGAAAGGCGACTTGCAGGCACTTCCTTCCCGGTTCCACTTGGATCATCGGGTTCGATGCCCACTCACGGTCTTGTGGGAGGGCGAGCGCGATGTTCGGGTTTTCCCGCCAGATGCTAAGCTGCTATGGCAGCCGCCTGTATCGTCCTTCAATGAACAAAGTGCGTAAGCACACGGCATCGGGCAGGTTCAACATCTCACGGTGCACGGTCGGCCTGGCCTTCCCCCGTGGGCTCTTGGGGTTCCTGCAACACCGGTGTTGTTGTGCATCATCGTCGGGGTTCGACACTCACGGCGCGCGGTCGGCTTGCCTTCCCCCGTGAGCACATGCGTTCCCCTGAGGGCGGTGTTGAGAGATGCAGGGCATGCGTCAGTGAATGCGACAAGCATGAGTTGCAGGCAACTAGGTGCACTGGTAGCATACGCAGGGCGTCATTGCCCCTTGAGTACTGTGTGCTACTAATGTATCAGTGTGCTGTGTTCAACCGAATGCGGTGACGCTTTTTTCGGGCGTAACGCCCACTCAGGCTCAGTCGGCCTCACGTTTCGGTAGTGGGAGTGCAGAGCTTGCGAGTCCGACCTCTCCTTTGTGGCAGTTTACGGTCCTGGTGTTCGTACACATTCTTGCATCTGCATTTGACATACTGCTGCTGCACGAAGTGTCTTACCGCCAAAAAGGAGAGGATCGAACCGCAGTGTTGATACACATGATGTGAATATGTTTATATATGATTGATAGAAATTTGGCATCACTTCACGCGTGCGTGTCGATGTTTTATAGATCCTAGGTCAAACGAAATTTTGTAGGGAGCAAAATTTTGGGCCATGACAATCTTTGCGCTACTCTTAGTAGTGCTTTACAATCCAGACTTTTAACAACTTTCAATCGCTGTTGCACGATTTCGTTTCTCCTGTCGAGCAAAGCCATTTTGGCTCAAGCTGTCTCGAGATCGAGCCAGAAATTTTTGATCTGAGGGCTCTCTAGAGGCTTGTAATTCCGTTCTAACAGGCCTGAGCCCTCCGTAACTCGGTGTTGCTCTTAGAGCGCCGTGCAAGAGCCCCACCGGGGGCTCGGATGGATCCGAGCTCGACCCTTGCGGCCGAGTCGTCTTCAAGCGACACTCAAGAGGCCATTTCGGCCCACTTGCACGAGGTTCAGCTTCAAGCTAACTCCCTTGAACAGCAGCTTGCCTTGCTGCGATCAGAACTGCAGGAAGTTCGTCAACAGGTCGTGAACCTTGAGGCCGAAAGATACCAGCACTCCCTTCGCTTGGGGTGGCTGGAGCAACTTGTGCAGCGCGTTTCACGCGCTTTCCGCTTTGAGTGATTGTGCCTGCACTGGGGTATTTCGGGGCTGTAGTAGAATGGGGGATGTTGAGGACAGCTCCCTCCCTTCGAGTTACGGGCTTCACCTGAGGTCGTGCCTGCGAGACTCGAGGTCTATTTGGAAGACCCCTTGGAACAATGCACTCGTTGCTTTTTGACCCTAAGCCCCGCCTGCCGCCTCCTCTTGGACCTCTTCCACTTGTAGTCCCAGCGAGCCCTTCTGCTGATCAGCCGGCCGTGCCGACCCCTCGCTTCATCAGGTCGGAAGGGCTTGAACAGGTGTGCGCTAAGATGGCCAAATTTAAACACACTTCCTGGGAAGTTATGATCAACGAGGAAAGAAATCTTGCCGTGAATAAGTGGCTCAGCCTGGTCATGGTCGAGCCCTTGACCTTCGGTGTAGCTAGGAACTTCTACGCCGGCAAGGCGTCGGGGATCTCTTCGGGATCACTTGCAGACAGCATTTCGGATTGCCTTGCTGCCAAGGCCACTTCGACGATCAATGCCAGGGCTAATTGCTTGTTGCGGTTTGTTTCTTGGGCAAAGGGGAACATGCCGTTTGTTTTTCCCTTGACCGAGCACGCTGTATATGCATACTTCGAGGAGAAGAAATCGACAGCAGCCGCGACATCGTTCAGGAGCCTTCTTTCTTCCGTTTCTTTTTGCTCAGCATGTGGTGGGCCTGGAAGGGTGTGACAAGGTTTACACTTCGGGTCGCGTCCGCGGCCTTGCGTCGAAGCTTTTCATGCAGAAGAGGAAGCTCAAGCAGCGGAATCCCCTCAGGGTCTCCGATGTCATTCTTCTTGAAAGGATTTGCTGCAAGCTTGAAGACAGGTCTTTGCAGGACCGCATCGCTGCAGGTTTCTTTCTTTTCTTGATCTATGCAAGAGCTAGATACAGTGACGGGCAAAATGTAGCATCGCTGACTGACTCGCCGCTCTACTTGGAGGGCAGGTCCAAGACGAGTTTCACTTTGGAACGCAAGACCAGGTACTTGCCGATGGCTGCCAGGAAGGTGGGCGTCAAGTGTGCATGGGCCGATGCTTGGCTTGAGGCTATGGCAGAAGCAGGTCTTACGCTCAAGAAGAACGACCCGCTGCTCCCCTGCCCTTCCTCGAATGGTTCTTGGAAGATGGTCCCGCTTCCGTGCGATCAGGCGTGTTCGTGGCTCAGGAGCCTGCTGGGGAACGCTCAGAGCGATCCCTACCTTGCGAATGTGGGAACACATAGCCTTAAGAGAACTTTGCTGAGTTGGGCAAGCAAGCGTGGTCTGCCCAGAGAACAGAGGGCCCTCTTGGGGTATCATACGTCCCGAGCCTCGGGTGCGGGATCAGAGCTGATCTATGAGTCCGATGCCCAGTCGGCTCCGCTCAGGGCTTTGTCATCTATGATCGACGAGGTCTCGTCCGGGACTTTCAAGCCTGACAAACCAAGGGGGCAGCAACTTGCTTCCGAGCTGTCGGCAACTGCCGACCCCCCTGGCGATGAGATCGAGTCGTCAGACTCTGAGGGCTCCGAGGACGAGGAGGAGATTGACCACTCAGGAGACGAAGCTTGTGCTGCTGAGGCTTTGGACTGGCATGGGAAGGTCGATCTCGACAAGATTGATCCCTCTTGTGTCTTCTTTCGGCATCGCCAATCCAGGGTAGTGCACATCACTGCCGACGAAGCCGGTGCCAACCTGGGCTGCGGTAGGGCCATTTCGGGTCAGTACAGGAAGCTGGAGGCGCGACCCGCAATTTTGCATCCAAGGTGCAAGCAGTGCTTCAGGAAGTACTTGATTGTGCAGCAGGGCACATGACTCTGCATCCGGCTCGTGTCTGCAATTCTGTGCAAAATGGTGATGCCGTGCACGTGCGCTCCGCAAGCCGGTCAAGTGCTGTCATTAAGGGTATCGTGCAAGAGCAGAGATCTGGCGGGTGTCGTGTCCTGCAAGAGGAGTGATTTGATGAAGAGCAAAGCCCTCCTGCAGCTGCTTTCAGCTCGTAGTGGTCCAAGCAGCACACCATGGCGGCCTTCTCCGAGTCGGGGCCAGTGTTCAAATCACGATGTGCCCAGGTCGGTCTGGCATCTGCGGATGTCGAAAAACTCGAGAAGGTGGGTGTGGATTCACTCGCAAAGGTCGCTTTCATGACGAGCTACACGCCGGGCTCTGGCGATGACAAGGACCTCATCGCGGCGTTCGAGTCGGCCCTCGGGACGCCGCCCTCTGTAGGGCAGAAAAGCTCCTTCCGAAGGTTATTTCATGAAGCATATGCTGTTACCACTTCGGAAATGAAGATGCTTGTGGAGCGGACGGATGAATCCATCCCAAGAAAATTGAGCGTCCCAGAGAGATCTGAGAGGTTCGAGGTAGTGAGCAAACGCCTTGTGGGCCTTTCGATCAAGAATCGTCTTGAGCCTGCTGATAGCCTCGTCGACTCCTTCGTGTCTCAGTATGAGCAGGACAAGCTGCAGTTTGTCCCGTGGGAGAAGCTTGTTTCCAAAGAACAAGAGGCCTCAACAGGGGCAAAGCGAGAGCCTTTCTTCTCGCTGGACAGTACGGGCAAGCTCAGGTCGGAGACGAAGGTTGAGGTCCGTGCCGACACTAGCACGGAGCTGCTCTTGCAGCTCGCGCTTCAGAGGCGCGGCATCGCTATGGAAATGGCGAACATCCTTGACTACCATCGTCACCACATGTGGGTCGAGCGCCTTCTTGCAGCGCGCCTCGACGCACCTCCGTCGACGCACATGCAGCCCACACTTGATCAGTGTCAGCAGGCTGATAGGAAGCTTTGGCAGCTTCTCGGAGAAGCAACTCGCTCAGGCATCCAGCTCAAAGCTGGGGGGCGTCCATTGGACACCATCTTCGAGAGCACATGGCAGTCACCAGAGGTGCTTCATCTGCTTCAGCCGATGCCTCGGGCAGCAGACGCTTCAGTCACGCAGCAGGTGGCACCGCCGCCGAGGCCGCACGGGCCGGGCCCGTATGATCGTCCGGGCAAAGGCCGGAAGGGCACAGGGAAAGGTGCCAAGGGCACCAAAGGCAGCGGGAAAGTTCCTGCCGCTCTTGCGGGCTGCAGATCTTGCACCAATGCAGGTGAAAACATATGTTTTGGGTATGGACTCAAAACGTGCAGGGAAACTGTGACTCGTGGTCGCTGCGTGCGCGGATTGCACATCTGCGCATGGCCCAAGTGCGGCAAATCGCATCCTGCACTGGACTGTCCGATGCGTGCTGAGGCTCTTAGCCAAAAGCAAGAGTGACAGTCGAAGAGCGAGCCCGGCAGCTCGCAGTTCTCGACTCAGAGTCGAGACAGCCCAGGCTTGGCTGGGCAAAGTTTTGCACCGCCGCAGGCTCCGCCTGCGCCGAACAGTTCTCAGTTCTCCTTCAGCAGTTCTTGATCCGTGTCAGCAGAGTGCTAGTATGGATTCAAGCAAGTTTTCTTCACTTTTGCAATTGCTTCGAAGCGCCAATTGGCCCGACTCTGTGCTGCAACGCAAGTCTGTTTCTTCGGCGAACCCCACGCAGTCGGGGTACTACAACTTCGGGCCCAGAGCCAGCTGTCCCCATCTCCTTACAAACGCCACGCTGCAGATGCGAGAGTTTGTCCAGCAGCTGAATTCAGCCGTCAAAGCACTTGTGCCTCAGGCGTCCCGGAATGCAATCTGTGTGGGCCAGAATACGCTGTCGGATTTTCACAGGGATTCCGGCAACCAACGGGGTTCTTTGAACCATACCTTCTCGCTGGGCACCTTTCAAGGCGGCCAGCTCTGGCTTGAAGATGCAGCAGGCACTTCCGAGGCCACGAGTCCCGCAGGCGGGCAGATCCGGGGCAGGGTTGTGAACACTTTTTGCAACCCCACTAGTTTTTCTTGCGACTTGTGGCATAAGACAATGCCTTACACAGGCGAGCGATGGGTCGTGACACTTTATACTCTGTCAGGTGGGCAACCTTCCGAGTTGCTCCCGTTGGGCTTTCCGTGTGGATCCGCCGCTGTGACTTCGCAGTCCTCTGGCGCGCAATCTCCGCCCCAGCCTGCCACTTCTGGGTCTAGCCCTTCGGTCTCCGTCCCTTTGGGTTCTAGTCTACCCCCGCCCGCCGACCCGCCTTGTAAACGCTTGAAATCCCAGGGTGCCAAGGTGTCGCCTTCGCAGCATGAAAAGCCTTTGTTCTTAGAGATTTGTAGCGGGTCGGCTATGCTGTCTTATGTCGCCAAGGAGGCAGGCTACACTGTTGTGCCAATCGATTGGCATCACAACAAACAACGATCATGTGTACATGCTCTGCAGCTTGATCTCCGCCTCGCCAGCACGTGGTCATTCCTGCGGCGCATTTGCTCCGAATACCATGTCGCTTGGATCCACATGGCCCCTCCATGCGGTACTGCACGCAGGCCTGCCTGTGTATTCGGTCATCACTCTCAAGAATCCGTATCATCAAGCAGTGACATCCTCGACACAGTCCCACACAGCCCGTATGGACCATCTTGGCATGGCTCACACACTGCTGCACGATCCTCAGCAAGTAGAGCAATTGCGCAGTGTTGTCAGAAACCGGCTGACTTGTGCTTTACAGGACCAGCCCGTGGATGCAATTATGCACCCTATGCACATTGATGCCATCCTGCGACAAGGATCCAAGGACCTCTTCCCGGGCACACACCTCGGCTCTCGTCCGACGGAAGTATGGGATAACGAACAGACGAAGCTCTCGCTGAAACATGTTTGGCAGGCACGTGTGCAGCTTCGCCGACATACCCTTGGGCCTCCACTTCGTGTTGCCTTTCATCTATGGCGTGCTCATTGGCGACTTGTCAAAGCCCGCAAAGCGCTGCATTCGCAGTCCAACAAAGCGAGACGTGATAAATGGGACCAACAGCTCACCGAGGCGGAGGAGGCCTATCACAAACATGACTCTCACTCTTTCTTTGCTATTGTGCGTAGACTTGCACCACGTCGTCCACGACAGCGCATTATGATGCGTAACAAGGATGGAACACTATGCACACCACAGGAAGAAATAGGGCTGATTCATGACTACTGGCGAGGTGTATTTGATGTTCCGACACTTCCCAAATGCTCCGGCTATCTGTGGCATGGCCTCAACATTACCACAAAGGAGGTGGAAATGGCCATCAGCAAATTATCAATGCGTAAAGCCTCGGCCCCAACCTCGGCTCCGCTCTGCAGCTGGCGTGCCTGTGCTCCTGACATTGCTCCTCTTATACAGGAATATTTGGCACAGCATTGGGGTGAGGGAGAACATGCAGGTGACGAGGACATTGCTAGGTCCTGGCTTGTCTTTCTGGGCAAGCCAAATAAACCCAGCAGCAAGCCCGAAAACCTTCGACCTATTGCTCTACAACCGGCTCCTGCCAAAATCATGGCCCTCCTTTTACGCTGGCGACTGCAACCGTATGTGGAGCAGCTGCTCCACCAATGTCCACAGTACGCATACACCAGAGGCAGAACCACTACGGATGCAATATCCCGTATTGCCCAACACTGTGATTCTGTTCGAGCCAAGGTCAAACAGCAGACACTTTCACTTCATGACCGACGACAGGGCGCTGTACGAACCGTATGCACCGGTGGTGCTCAGCTGACTGTTGATTGCTCCAAAGCTTTTGACAGTTTACCTCGCTGCACTATGATGACCATGCTAACATGGGCTGGTGTACCACCCGACTTGGCCACTGCTATCATACAGGTCCATCAGGCTGGCACTTATCGTCATGGAAACGTGGACGACCCTGAATCCTGGATGGATATTGACAGTGCTCAAGGCGTGCGGCAAGGCTGTATGCTTGCCCCATGTTTGTGGCTCTTGTTCGTAACATACCTCTTCCATCACCTGGACACGACAATGGGTGGAGCTGCTTCATGGACATGCCAGCACTCCACTGCCTTCGCCGATGATCTTCACTTCAAGTGGGATCTTGACGATCCCAAAGCCCTGGATCGAATGAAGATGGAGGTTGCCACGGTACTCTCAGTGCTCAAATCCTTTGGTCTTCAGATCAGCGCAGAAAAATCCACCATGTTGATCGAGATTCGAGGAACAGCAGCTGACGTTTGGTTGTCCAAGAACGTCTACAAAGATGATGAGAACAACAAACACTTTCGTTATGACACGTTTGCCAAGCTCTCCATCCCGCTTGGTACCCAATTCAAGTATCTTGGGGTCATATTATCCTATCGCAATTACGAGCTGGCCAGTGTCAAACATCGTGTACAACAGGCTGCCATACACCATTCCCGTCTTCGTCGCATTCTGCAAGGACGCGGGGGCATCAGCCGGCATCAACGACTTCGCCTCTGGCGCATCTGCATTCAGACAAGCCAGCTCTACGGACTCGAGGCCACAGGTGTCACAGAGGCAGGGATCAAATTACTACATGTTCAAATGCTTCGTCACCTCAGGGCCATTACAGGTCGACCCAGGCATCTTGATCGCAGCACTGATCAGGAATTGTTGGACAGTCTTAAAATGGCATCGGTCAGGCAGATGCTATCTCAACGACTTCAGTCGGCAAATACCCGTCTTTGCTCCAACACGGATCTGCCATGCTACGACAAAGACAATATACTGCGACGTATTCAGGCCTTGCAAGCAGGTCTTGACCGCCCGATCTGTACACAGCGGGTCTCTACCGCCTTGACTACACCTATACAGCAGGCTCCGCATGATGATGTTACGCCGCAGGAGCAGAAAGTGCGACTCCAGGAACTACCCGCTGACACCAAGCAATTTCGATGTCAGGTATGCGGTCAGTCTTTTCCGTCTTTACATTTGGTGAAGACCCATGAAGGCAAGGCCCACAAGATCTTGGCACCCAAACGGGAGCTGCCCCAGGATCGCTCCGTCTACTCCATCAACGGACTTCCGCAATGCCGTTTTTGTGGCTACAAATTCACGAAATGGAGTGGCCTCCAAAGACACATACAGCGGAACGGCTGCCCGATTCTTCGCCATGAAGATCCCGCCACCTTTGCAGCAGCAGCGCCCGCGACTACAAACAAGGCTGAAGATCCTCTTCGTACTACACAACATGCATGGGTGGCCGACTCAACCATTGCCACTACCATGCCTTCAACTGGAGATCAACCTCTGGTCCAAGACGCGCAGCTACAGCAGGATGCCAGCCAGTACACGTGGACCAAGGTGCTTCACATGTGGCGTACAAAACATGACTTCAAGAATGTGTGTGTGTTCTGTGGTCAATGGGCAGTGGATGCCAGTGCTCTCAAACAGCATTATGCCAAGCAGCATCAGGCATTAACCAATCCGTGGATCGCAGCATATCGGGCCGAGTGTAAGCAGCTAGCTAAAGTTGCCGTATCTAAGTGCCGCTTCTGTGGTACCACCACCACGGATGCTCGTCAGCATGCCCACAAATGCATACATGTTTTTCAGGCCTACATGCTTACCAGCCACGTCTCAGGTCGAAATGGAGGACATGCCGGACTTCGATGCCGACAGCCAGATCCAGAGCCTCCTCGGGGGCCTCTCCTCAGTCGTGGATCTCAAACCACTTCTGAATCCAACGCCAACACCGGCGCGCAATCAGTCCCATCTGACCAACAAGCGTCCGAGGGCGGAACAGTGGACTCGAGGCACCGGGAGCAAGGGCGGCGGCAAGGGCAAAGGAATGGCCTCCAACGGTACTTTATCACAGGAGGATCTTCAACAGCTCCTCAGGCAGATCGTCGTCCTTCTCCTACGCCAAGGCGACCAACTCAATCGGCTACAGACGGATACCGGATACTATTTGGTCTTTCAAGTCCCGGGCGACGCCACCATGGTACCAGTTCTGATTGCGGGAGCACTCGAATGGCGCAATCAGAAGAAGGCCGACCCGACCAAGCTCACCATGTCTCTCCGCATAGCCCTCATCGGACTCTTCCTCAAGGAGCTTCAGATGCGTCTGGAAAAGATCCGGGCCAACGACCAACTTCAGGAGAAGCTCAAGGAGCAAGGCCTGATGACGGACGAAGGTGCTTGGACATATCGCCAATGGTGTCCAAAGAACAAGGCACTTCAGCTACAGCTCAGCAGGGATCCGATCAAGTGGGACGTCCTGATGACACACATCACGAATGCTCTCCAAGGACTGAACAATCAGGACCACATTACACGTTTTCAGGCGACCAAAGCCTTGGAAGAAGGACAGATGGGTCCCACCCTTCCATTCCTTCTGGACATCTCGCTCAAGCCGAGTGCGTGTCGTCTACACCAGAGCATGAGGGCATTGGTGGACTGCTCGGCCATGGAAGCAGTAGGCGCACGTATTCGACCCCAACGAGCCAAGCGATCTCAACTTCAGGATCAGCTCCAGGAGTGGCTGCGAGGCAGGTTCTATCATGTCGGTTGAACAATCCACACAATATCTGCTATGCCAACTCTTTCTTCATTGCCCTTGCATGGCTATTTGGTGAGGTCTCGATCTCTGAACATGCCCAGGCTCTATTTCAGATCTTGTGTTTTATCTGCCAGCATGGTCTCAAATTGCTGTGTCTGCCTGATCACACGGCTTTTCAGGCATTGATTCAGGAATGGCCACATTTTGACCGACAGCAGGATGTGGCAGAGTTTGCGCAACATGTCCTCGATCGTACATGGCCGGTTCAGAATGTGCTTCCAATGAGTACTTGGCAGTCTCGTGACGAATCAGGATTCTCAACCGATGAAGGTCAGCACCTCATTATGCTTCCGATGCCCTCTCGCAGTTCAAACTCTGAGATTCAGCTGTCAGGGCTGATACAAGCCTGGTCTCAGCAGTCTCCTGCACCAGGGCTGTGGCCACTGCCTCGGTTTGTGTGCCTGCAGCTTCTTCGCTTTTACACAGTTGGTGCCAGAGTTCGCAAGGACCAAAGAGCAGTAACGATTCCGCTTCAGGTACGCTTACCAGTATTTCAAACCGAGATTGGACCGCGACCAGCTTGGCATATGTATAGACTTCGAGCCCTCATTGGGCATCACGGCTCCACTCCGCGCTCAGGTCACTACAGAACGCTGCTGATTCACTGGGAGTCCACCCAGGAAGATCCCCAGTTGTATTACACAGATGATTCCTGTATGGCGCGTCGCCCCACAAACGCACAACTCCGTGTGTTGATGACTGAAGTCTACTTGATCTTCCTGGAGTGCGTGGGGTATGTCAGCTCACTGTAAATGCGGTGAAACAACCACTCGGGTGCTGCTTTGTACATGCTTGCATGCTTTGCATTATATCAGTGCCCTCTTGATTCGCCGCCCTTTTCCGGCTTTTCATGCATATGCCAGCTTTGAGCGTGTGTGCAGGTCATTATGCTTATCTTTTCTACATGGCGGCTCACACTTCGGTGGGAACACCGACGGATTCAACAGCAGTTCCAAGCCTTGCTGCTGCCTGTATGCCCTACAATTTACTACATGACGTGCCTTTCGGTATTTATCAGTCCAGACAGCGCGCCCAGTGGATGGATGCCAGAGGCACCTACAATTCACTTGACGATGTACCACACTGTCTTCCGAACCGATGCACGACATCCAGTTTTCAGGCACGTATGGCATCCAGCAGTGGCTCACGTGGCACACCAGCGCAGCTATTGGTCCTGGTTACGGCAACATCTGATTCTCTGGATGATGTACCACATTGTCTTCGAGACCGAGGAAGCGAACCTATCTCGTGTATCACGATGGATATGCTACATACCTGGGCCGATCAGCCTGCATCTCAACTTCTTACTCCCCACCACCTTGCTCAATTTTTGCATCGATGGGGTTTTTCAGCCGTGGATATTGTTGAATGGGGCATTTATTACTACTTTGAGCAGGCTCCATGTACAGATGCAGAGTGGAAACAGGTGCTTCTTCAGCAGCTACACCGCAATGTTTATCAGCTTTCCATGTCTGGTGCCATATGCTATTTCAAACAACTGCTAGTGGGTGCCCATCGGGAGGATTTTTATGAGGAGCTTTACACGGTGGCATGTCGTCGCATACAGCTGGATGATCCCACTACTACTATGACCACTGTTCTTCACTGGCTATACATACTGGCCACGTATGGTACCTTGGTCTGATGCCTCTACAGCTGTTTCTTTGACTGCATGACCTTTACAGTCTGGTGGGCCATGCTATCTATCCGCTTCCGATCCACTGCTCTTCAATCTTCTGTATGGTGCCTTTGTTTTCGATGGTGTTGCTTCATCAACGGTCTTTTTCACAGCATGGGACTTCTTTGTACATGTACATACGGTCGAGTAGTCCAGTCCGTCTGGTCAGACCAATGCCATGTGTACAAAGGTCTAGTAGTCCAGTTCGTCTGGTTAGACCGCGATGTATATACGATCGAGTAGTCCAGTTCGTCTGGTTAGATCGATGCCATGTGTACAAAGGTCTAGTAGTCCAGTTCGTCTGGTCAGACCGGTGTGTATATACGATCGAGTAGTCCAGCACGTCTGGTTAGATCGATGACTTGTGCTCTGTCTCACCTTTGTTAATGCTGACGTTGGTTTTTAAAACCACTCCTGCAGTGTTTGCCCACATGTGGCTAGCCCGGTGGGATCCACTGCTTTTGCTCTCTCTCTGAGCCGATGCCACTGTGCATTGTAGCGTAGCGCGAGACTGCTGGACAGTTTGCGTCATACAAAGTACAAAGTACTGCACGCAGGGCTCGCGAATGTGGGCCCGGTCCTAAACCGCTTCGGTCGCATCATCATGTGCGTGGGCTCCCTGGCCTTTCACAGGTAGATCAAGCTCGCGTTGAGAGTGCCAACTCCATCTACGACAACATGGAGTCCTTCTGCGACTGGCTGCTTCGATCCATGCCTCATATCCCGTTCTCTGTTGAGAACCCGTTGCACAGCTACCTTTGGCAATTCCCGAAGTGGGCCGCAATGGTCCAACGGCACTCCTTTGTCACATTTGACTCGTGCCGGCACGGCTCGCAACGCAAGAAGGCCACGGCCCTTCTCACCAATTCTGACTTCCTGCACTGCCTTTCGGGACCCTGTCCCGGCTGCTCCTCGCATCTCCCATGGGGTAAGCAAGGTCGCACCTTTGCAACCGCTGCAGAGACAGGGTATCCTAAGCTTCTTTGTGAACGGATCATCTCATGTGTGGACAAGTCGGCCACCTTGCGGGGCATTGCGCCGGACCGACTGACTGTTTCAAAGGTCTCTGCTGCACGCGCCGCTGGTCAGGTGCAGCCAAGGGGGCGCAAGTTCCCACCGATCATTTCTGAATTTGCTTATACCGTTTCTGTTGGCAGCGCGGCAGCCCCCACTCTCAATTCCAAACATTGCTTGTCATCTGCATGGAACGGCGTCCCTGCAGGTTCAAAGCTCCTCCGGGAGTCAGTGGAGAGGGGGGGTTCGCGACTCCCTGAGGGCAACAAGTTCTACGTGTTCGGAGTGTATCGGTCCATGCAGGCCTTCTTGAACGAAGCAAAGCTAGTCGTGCACCCGTTTGATTCCGCCAGGTCACTCCCAGATGAACTTTTGCGAGTCTTGTTCGACACACTCACTAAGGGTCCGGTCGACACGATGAAACATCGCCTTCTTAAGCTGCAGCACTGGCGTGCCCTTGCCAAACAGCTTGAGCCCGAAGAAGAGAAAATCAGGTCGGCCATGGATCCGTGTGTGCGGAGGGTCCTCGGCAACAAGCGTATAGCGCTCATGAAGAGCGTTGCCGCAGAATTGTCGTGGCCTGACACCACTCTCTTCGATGACCTTGCCGCCGGTTTTAAATTAACAGGGTACCTAGGGCGCACGGGGGTCTTTACTAGTGACGTTAAGCCTGCCACGATGGACCTTGATGAATTTTGGTCGAGCGCCCCGCTTCGCAGGGAAACTCTTCTTGAAAAAGTCAAGGGCCAAAAGGACCATGACTATGCCGAGGAGCTCTGGAACATGACGCTTGAAGAGTCCGATAAGTCTGGGAAGAGCTGGCTTGACGGCCCGATCGATGTCGACTCTCTGGGGAGCATGTTCCCCGACGGTTGGAACGCCTGCCGGCGTTTTGCAGTCTGGCAGGGCAAATGGCGTGCCATTGATGACTTCTCGGAAGCTGCGGTGAATGCATGCTTCGGGTGCTTTGAACGCGTCACTCTCAAAGCCCTTGATGAGATCTGTTGGCTGTGCATGCAAGTTTTCCGCGCCGCAAAGAAGTCGGGCTTTCTTGATCTGGAACTCAGCTCGGGTGAGAGACTCAGGGGGCCTGTCCATACTGCGTGGAAGGACCTCGACCGTGTTCGTCCTCACTGCAAGACATATGACCTTCATGTTGCATACAAGCAGCTCGCATTGCACCCTGGGGAAAGGTCGAAATCCATTATCCTGCTCCGGGAGCCCGGCTCCCGCGCTGTCAAGGCCTTTGTGTGCAATACTCTGCCCTTCGGGGCTTCGGCCTCGGTTATGCAGTTCAACAGGGTGGCGTTATTCTTGCAAAGGGTTCTTTGGGATCTGAGGGTAGCTGTGACGTGCTACTACGACGACTTCCCGACGATGACTCCCTCTTTCTTGTCGGGCGGAACGGACAATGCGGTTCATGCCCTCATGGACTTGTTCGGCTTCTCCTTGTCCGAGAAAGAGAAGCCGTTCTCGTGCACCGCAGAAGCTTTGGGTGTTGTGCTAGATACGTCTGATCCTGACATGGGGCACATCTTCGTATCGAACAAGCCTAAACGGGCTGCCATGCTCGAGGGGTCCGTAGGCCGCATCCTCGAACAAGGCCAGGTGGACACGAGGGAGCTGCCTTCCCTCCTTGGTAAACTTCGCTTTGCGGATGCTCAGCTGCTCGGTCGCACGGGGCGCCTGGCCCTTGCTGACCTTAGGCTCCTAGGCGATAAAGGGGGTGTCTTCCAGCTGACTGATTCACAATCGAATGCCTTGGCCGTTCTGAGGGCGAGACTTCTTGCGAGCAGACCCCGCGCCATTGCTGCGAGCCCGCCTTCGAATCCAGTCCTCATCTTCACAGATGGCGCATGCGACCCGTGTGAGGGCGGCTTCACCACAGGCGTTGGAGGTGTCATCTTCATTCCCAGCAAAGGGGTGGCCAGGGCTTTCGGCTGCAGGGTTCCGAGCAAGCTTGTCAAGCAATGGGCCGAGGGCAGGAAACACATTATAGGGCAAGTTGAGCTTTACGCGGTCGTGCTCGCCAGGATCTTATGGTCGAGTTACATCGATGGCGAAAGGTGCTTATTCTTCGTCGACCATTCCGGTGTGTTGAGTGCCTGTATCAACTCGAACTCGATCGATGCATCTTGGAGGAGCCTTCTCCTCCATCTGGAGGCTGCCGACGAAGCACGCCCGTGCTTGCCCTGGTTTCATCGCGTCCCGAGCCAGAGTAACATCGCAGACCCACCGTCGCGTGGCAGATGGGACGAAT